CTCTGCTTCCTCTCTGCGTTACTGCTTTAGCCTTCTTGTTCTGTTTGTTCTTGAGGTTGGATATATAGCCGCTTTGGTTAGGTTGTGTTTTGACAAGCTTTTATGTTTGATTGCCTTATTGCCTTTGGTTCATATCATTCTTACCGGGTTCGATCTTCTGCCGTGTTGGTTCCCATCTCGGTATGTTCTGGTAAATGTGGGCTCGCTTTTTGTCTCTACGGTTAAGGTTTGGTCGAGATCTTCGTTTGCTATGAGGATTCTACCTAGGCGTCAACAAGTTGGGGCTTCCCCGGCTTCGCCGTTACCGGGAGTTTTGTGTGAAGTTTTAGACTTTTCTGATTCGTCCATCTTGCCGGTTTAGTTTCCTATGTTCTTTGATTTGAATAGGTAGTCTAATTCGCCATAGAAGGAGCCGCATATCGTCTCATTGAGTCTCGCTGGCTTGGTCGTTATGCTTTCGCGATTGACCAACTTGGTTTAGGTAGTTGTTCTAGAGAAGTTTGTTTTGGATTTGGCTTTATCAATTGTTGTTGATCTTATTCTTTTTCGGGGCTGTGTTCCCATTCATTTTAAACCTTCGTTGGTATTTTGGTATTATCCATGTCTCCCTCACGCAGAGTTTAGACTCCGCGGATTTTGTAGTCCGTCGGCTTAGTATTACAAAAACGTATTCCAAAAATGTATTCTACCCTTATATTATTTCAGTGTTTATAATAAAATCTAGATGATATTAAAAAAAAAAAACTATTAACTATCTTTGCATAATCTATACTACAAAACTTGGCCAGCACTCTCCAGGAAGACACATGACTACCTTCTATGATTGACACGTGTACATGTTAAAAACGCACATCGATGTTTCGCCTTGAAAGTCCCGTCTTTTTTTTGTGGAATCTAATCTCATTTGAGATCGTATCCAAGCCTGCCTCCAATTACACAACTCCTCCAGTTTTAGGGTTTCCATCTGACTCTTCTTCTTGCATCTGAAACTTTGGAGGCGTTATTTCGTTTAATCAATTTGCTTAAGGCGTTCCTGAAAGACCGAGAAATCTCATGTCGATTACGTTATACTCTGATCTTCTTGTGATCGGTACCCACTGTGTCTCGAGTCCGTAAACTGTTTTTTAGATAAGTTTCTCTGAATTCATTGAAAAAGAGGGGCTCTTCAAAAAATTAGAAAGCCATAGATTTCAGTGACTTAGTTTTATAGGATTATTTACTTCGAACCTGATTCATTCATATTTGTTTGGTAGGCTTAGTTTAATCTTCGACGATGTGGAAAATAAAGTATGTTTAATTTAATATGAGAAACTAACATATTTGAGCTCTGCTTGTGATTCAATTGAGGAAATCAAATATTATTCTTCGTTTACAATTGAATGAATTTTGAAATTGCAGAGCCTGGTTAGTTGGGGGAAGAGTTTTACTAGAGTTTAGCTCAGTTTCAGAACATCTCAAACTTGAGGCAAATCTTCAAAGGTGCTTTGATATTAAAATTTTCTTTTTAGTTGGACTAAATGATGTTTTTGGGTTTCAGTTCTTACTTCTTTGACTATATTGTGGTCATGCAATTTTAGAAATAAAGAGAATGACTGCATGTAAGCTGTTCGAAAATTCTCCTAATATGATATTATACTCCTTTCATATGTGGCATTGACCCAAACAGGCATAACAATAACCGATTTTTTTATAGACTCGATCACACGATAATGTTTTTCATACGATCACGGTACGGTGTGTATCTTGGATGATTGGATCACAGGATACGATATTGACCAAGTACTGATACCAACTTGCAAATTATTTATCCAAAGTAGATTCAATTTCCATGATGTAGATGAATTTGGTTTCATGCATTCGTTGGATTTTGTGATGGTTTATAGCACAACTATGACATACAAATCTTTGATCCATCAATTAATTCCTGGTGAAAAAGGTTATTGACCTTGGGCGTTCATGTATTCTTCTTCTTATGAAGACCATAACAAATATCATGGCGTGTGGGGGAACGTGTCTATGCTTTCGCAATGTATTGTGTTAGAAACATGCTTGTCTCATCATACAATTTACTTTGTTTTAAGTATATTGAAGGAGTCCTCAGATATTATTAGGTTTTCTCACTAGATACTCTCTATTTATATCAGGTTCTAAATCTAAGAGTGCCTAGAGAAATCCATCCCTAATTGTCTTTTCTCAAGCTTTGAATTATTTATGTTTGCTGATTTCACATTAAGCCATATGTGGTTATATTTGTAGAAGGTTATTTTCTTTGAAGTTTCTAAAGTCTATGATATTAAATTACATCAGAGTTTCTTTGTTGTGATATCTAATTGAAGAAATCTGATGGTTTATAGGTCCAGATTTGTTGATAAGCTAGGGAATGATATGCTGATGAACATAAAGACATCACATTGGTTTGACCTTCCTCTTCTCAATTTGATTAAATGTATTCGGCATTAGAAAGACAGTGGTATATAAGACAAATGAAACTATGTAGACAAATGTGAGTGAGGCTCATGATGAATTGCTACTATTGACGCATGTATGGAGATAAGACGATAGGCGGGGAGATATTTGTATCGTGAAAACTGATATTTCTTTCCCCCTCTAATTTAGCAATTGTTTCTTGCAATATAATATTGTCATTGTGTCTATTAACAATCACTGACTGAAATTTTAGATTCATCTTGCTTTTTTTGTAGGTCTCTCACCACAGGGAAAATTGAAAGCATATTTAGTTCCATTGGTTGGTAGATCTTCTTTGCTTATAATTTTTAACC